AAAAGTTTTTAAATTACTCAATATTTTATACGAATAAATGTTTGAAAAGTCAATGTGACAATTCGGACTCGTATCCGGGTCGGATACGGGTTGGGGGTGTTACATGTATTCCCGTTCTGTATTATCCTTAGGTGACATGGATGCACCGAGCTTGAAATGAGGAGCAAGAGGTGTACTAACTGGTTTTGACTTCTCATTCATGCCAAAACGTTTTAGCACCTTCCTCAGATATTCTTTCTGAGACAAACAAAGCCTCCCCAATTTTTTATCCCTTGATATCTCCATGCCTAGAATCTTCTTTGCTTAACCAAGATCCTTCATCTCAAACTCCTTGTTCAATTGAGTCTTTAGTTTCGCAATTTCTGTCTGACTCCTGGTAGTTATCAGCATATCATCAACATAAAGAAGAAGATATATATATGATCCGTCTTGTAGCTTGCGTAAATACACACAATGATCATATTTGCTTCTTGTGTACTTCTGCCCTATCATAAACTTGTCAAATCGCTTGTACCACTGCCTTGGAGATTGCTTCAATCCGTATAGCGATTTTTCTAATTTGCACACCATCTCTTCATTTTCAGCAACTTTGAATCCATCTGGCTGAGTCATGTAGATTTCCTCATCCAAGTCTCCATGTAAAAATGCAGTTTTTACATCCATCTAAACTAGTTCCAAATCCAACTGTACTACCAAAGCCAACAAAATTCTGATGGAGGAATATTTTACAACTGGAGAAAATACTTCATTATAATCAACTCCCTCCGTTTGAGCGTAGCCTTTAGCCACCAATCTTGCTTTGTAACGGATGTTATTCTTGTCAGGAAATTCATCTTTCTTTGCATATACCCACTTGCACCCAATTGCCTTCTTTCCCTTCAGAAGACTAGCTAGTTTCCACTTCTGATTCTTTTGAAGGGATTGCATTTCTTCATTCATGGCGATCCTCCACTTTTTATGTTATGAACTTTGTACTGCTTCATTAAAAGTGTCAGGAACGTCATCAATTGCAATTGGTGATGCAAAAGAGACCATATCAGCATAACGAGCAGGTTGTCTAATGATCCTCTTTCCCTTTCTGAGTGCAGTTGATTCATGTTGCTGTGGAGGTTCTTGGGTCTGAACCTCTTCTTCATCTGACTCTTCTTCTACCATAGGAGAGTCAACATCAGTTTCTTTACTGGCTAGGTCAATTCTGCTTCCTTCAAACTCCACCTGTTTGGGAGTTCCATCTGTCTGCTCCAATTTTTCTGAAGTCACCTTTCTCAACATGGTAGATTCATCAAAGGTAACATCCCTGCTAAAGATTATTTTCTTTGTTTCTGGACACCAAAGACGATAGCCTTTCACACCATAGGTGATCCCCATAAAGATCACATTCTTTGCTCTTGGATCCAGCTTTGACTCCTTAACATGGTAGTATGCAGTGGAACCAAACACATGTAAGGAATCATAATCTGTAGCAGGTACTCCAAACCATTTCTCTAATGGTGTTTTACCACCAATAGCAGTCGATGGTAAGCAGTTGACAAGGTGACAAGCATAGACCAACGCCTCCGCCCAAAATTCTTTGCCTAACCCAACATTATACAACATACACCGAACCTTCTCCACTAATGTTCGGTTTATACGCTCTGCCACCCCATTCTGTTGTGGTGTACTTCTGACAGTGAAATGCCTGACAATACATTCTTCTTCATAGACTTTCAGAAATGGATCATTTTTGTACTCTCCACCATTGTTTGTATGGAGACGTTTGATTTTTCTATCTGTTTGAGTATCCACCATCTTTTTCCATTTAAGGAAAAATCCTATCACCTCATCCTTTGTCTTCATTGTATACACCCAAACTCTCCGGGAAAAATCATCAACAAAGGTGACATAATAGTGTGTTCCTCCCAATGAAGTTGTCCTGGAAGACCCCCATACATCTGAATGAACATAATCCAAAATACCTTTAATATCATGGATTGTTGTTCTAAATTTCACCCTCGTCTTCTTCCCTTTGACGCAATGCTCACAAAAAGCTAATTTGCAAGCCCGAGCACTCTTCAATAATCCTTGATCTATCAGCAATTTCAAGGATTTTTCACCAACATGCCCCAAGCGCATATGCCATAACCTGGTTGCTTCTGACTCATGTTCATCAGTAGAAGCTGCCACTGCTGCTGTCCCAACAATTGTACTACCCAGAAAGTAATACACATTGTTTCTTTTCTGAATTCCCTTCATTATCACCAGTGCACCAGAGATAATCCTCATAACCATCTTTTGCCATCACTTCTAAACCTTTTGACTCTAAGGTTCCCACAGAGATGAGATTTCTCATTAAATCTGGTAGATAATGGACACCTGTTAAGGTTCTGATTGATCCATCCTGATTCCTCAAGCGAATTGAACCAATCCCAAGTGTGTCAAGAGGGGAATTATTTACTGTGCAGATAATTTCACCTTTTAGCTCTTTAAAATCAAAGAATCGTTCTTTATTGGGGGTCATATGGTGGCTACAAGCTGAATCTAACAACCATGAACTGGAACAGCTGGTTGATGGCGTAGCAGCGAATGCGAAATCTGAATCTGCATCATCATACTCGACCACATTTGATTCTGAGACAGCCTTTCCCCTTTCAGGTTTGCCTTTGTTCTTTAGCCTGGGACATTATTTCTTCCAGTGCCCTTTTTTCTCGACAAAAGGCACATTCATCTTTGCTCAATCTGGACTTTGACTTCGATCTCCCTCTCATTCCTTTATTCTGACTCTTCGAACAGCCTCTAACAACAAGAGCTTCTGCTTCGACACTTGTGTTTTCTTGTTTGTCTTTCTTTCTCAATTCATAACTATACAAGGAAGCAGTTACTTCACTGAGAGACACATCAACTTTCCCATAAAGTAGAGTAGTTTCAAGATACTCAAACTCATCAGGAAATGATCCCATCAACATCAGAGCCAGATCTTCATCTTCAAAAGTCACGTCTATATTCATCAGATCAGTCACCAGCTGATTAAAACTAGTAATGTGATCATTCATAGTGGTACATGGTACATAGTTGAAGCGGAACAATCTCTTTTTCATGTAGAGCTTGTTCTGACCGCTTTTCTTCAAAAATTCTCCTCCAGTGCCTTCCACAATTTACTTGCAAAAATTTCCTTAGAAAATGCATACTTATGCTCTCTAGAAAGACACAATCGAATAGTACCACATGCCAATCTATTGATCCTCTTCCATTATTTCTCCTCAACATAATATGGTTTCTCTCCTTCAATAGCAATGTCTAACATTTGTCGCAGCTGCTGACGACGATGTGGATGTTTTTGTTGCGTTTGCCATTTCTGCTACAAATTCTATTTAATAGTTGTCAATGTGGAATGCTAATTATCCCAAGAAATTTTTTCTGATGTGGAAGATCAGCCTAAGCCGCAACCACAGAGCATACTAAAATAAACCAAGAGCGCTGATACCAATTGTTGTGGAATTCGGGTTAATTTCCACCAATAATAACAAATTAACCTTGAAAACTATTATCTAGGTGACTAGTGTGAAAACGATTGTACTAAAAATCACCCCAAGGTAGATTCTCAGGAAAGAAGAGGGGTCACAATGGTCCCTCTTAAAACCCACTTTCCTTAGACAGAACTACCAAGACAAGTAATTTTAATAAGACAATAATTAACAACAACTATACACGACAATAGCTATTAAATAGACATAAAGAGAACACCAAGATTTAACGATGTTAGGCCAAAATTATGCCTACCTCCTCGAACACTACTAAAATAATATTTCACTAATAGAGGAAATATTACAAAGAGAGAAAGAGTACAAATAGCCTTTAATAATGAAGAATGTTTATATTTGTGGGATGATAAACTAAGGAGGAGGAGGGGCTCTATTTATAACAAAAGAATTTTCCCTCCTCCTTATACAAAACCAATGTGGGATATTTGCCAAAAACCAACACATTGTACATACGGTGGCTAGCTAGCTACCTAGTAACAAGTACAATAATTCCACCGTAGCTTTATTTGGCCATCACCGGTCACCACCACAAACTGTGGTTACCATTATTCCAGCTGGGACTCCGGTTACGGAGGTAAATAATCAAACATCTACAGTCTATTCGAGAAGAAAATCACCGTCAACCACCAAGTCATGGCCGGTAACAAGCTCAGAATCCTGAGAGGCCAGAAACACCACCGCGTCTGCAACGTGCATCGTTTCCAGCACCGCCCCTTTCAAGCTAGTGTACGGCCCGAAGAGCTTCTCCGTCTCCTCCGCCTCTTTTCCGATGTGACGACAGAGTAACGGAGTTCCCACAACAAAGCTTAACCACTACACTAGATTAACAATTGGGTACATTTAATATCTAAACTATCAGTTTTGTCCATTTTAGTACCTAAACTTTTAATTTTTTTCAAAACTATACTTAAAGTTTAGTTTTTGTATCATTTTAGTACCTATGTTCGAAATTTAATATTAAGTTTTGATTTTTTTTCAAAAAATGAACTCTAGGTATTATTTAAAAAAATTAAAAGTTTAGGTACTAAAATTTATCAAAATTGATAGTTTAGATACTAAATGTGTAATTTAACTTTAATTAGTTCATTCTACAATTAAGCATTTACCTTAACATTTAGGTTAAAATAATATTCTTTTTGTAGTCTTAATAGTTAAAAAAAGTGTTATTCTCGCTTAAAGTCTCACATTTAAACAGTGTATGCGAGTTATCAATTATTAAGAAATATTACAAATATATGTTATTTTGTAATCATATCTTACTATTTAAAACTTAAAAATTAAATTAATGCTTAATATATATATATATATATTATTCAAAACTTTAAAATTAAATTAATGCTTAAATATGTATATATATACTATTCAAAACTTTAAAATTAAATTAATGCTTATATATATTTTTTGAAAGTGCCTTTGTAAATATATTATATTTATTAGAACGATATATGAAGTTATACCAAATTTAAATTACACTCCAAATTATTTAATTATTAATATATTTTTATTGTGACCATTTAACTATTTCATTTTTCAGTTTCAGGACGAACCCTGAAACAGGCCGTCTATAACCAAATTATGGCCAGTGATAAACTGAGATTCCTCGCTAGCAAGGAAGACAACAGCATCGGCCACATGCTTCACCTTCAACACTCCATCGTTTTTCAAGCGAAACATCCTTGAAAACATCGATTCTATGTCGTCCGCCCCCATTCCGAGATTTTCACAAAGAGCAGGCGTCGCCACCGGTCCCGGTGAAACGCAGTTAACGCGTATCCCGTTCGGGGCCAACTGAGTACTGGCGCACCTCATCAACGCAATCACCGAGCTCTTCGACATTACGTAATCTGTATTCCGGTCACTCGCGAGTCCAGCAGCTATACTAGCCGTGCATATGATGCTTCCTCTGCTACTGGCCTTCACCATGGCCTGCCCTGCATACTTGATGCTGGCAGCAACCCCACCTACATTGATAGCGAAGAGCTTCTCGTAGGACGGTAAGTCAAATTCGAGTATCGTCTGCATCGATCGGCTCAGAATTCCCGCGTTGCAGAACATGATATCTAGGCGACCGTGGAGTCGGATCGTGGACTGAACGAGGGATTCGACGTCTTGCTCCTTTGTTACATCGCAATGGACATAGGTACATGCACAACGGTCCCCGATCGATGCGGCGAGTTCCTCGCCCTTCTCGTCTTGGATGTCCGCGATCACAATGGCCCCTGCACCGTGATCGGCGAAGAGATGCACGGTGGCAGCGCCGATGCCGCTTGCACCGCCGGTGATAATGGCTACTTTGCCTTGGAGCTTCTTGTTGTAGGCTTTGGGGTCTGCCATTTTATGTGTTTATGAAGCGTGAAAATGGTGAGTATATAAAGCATCCAATCACTTAGGGCTCAAGTTTATCTTCTGCTGCAATTTGCAAGCTGAAAGTGACCGTAAATGCTTCTTTATTTTCATGAATCTGACTTTTTATTCTTTATAATATATATCACATATTTCTACTTTGTCCGTATATACATACATCATCTGAAAGTAAATTTAATGCTTATTTATTTTCATTGTTTTGACTTTAAATTATAGGTAAATTACGCGTTTAATAATTAAATTATTAGTTTTGATTCGTTTTAGTAGTTAAATTTTCAACTTTTCTCAAAATCATATCTAATGTTAAATTTTTGTTTCATTTTAGTACCATCCATTAAAAACCTAACGGACGGGCGACCAATCCGAACGGTGGACCACAGGAGAATGACGATTCGACCAATTCAGTCCAATTTCAACCCCATCATATGATTGATGACGGAGATCGAAAGATGAAGAAGCTGAAGAGTCATTCGTCGATTTGGGGAGATTGAGACATTTTTCGGTGAAACAAAGGGCAAGATCACGTTTAGGGGGTCGAAAATGTACGGGCTGAAAAGTTTGGGCTTCATCAACCGACGACTATAAACGCAGTGGTCGACGAGCCTGTCCGTTAAGTTTTTAACGGCGGAGTACTAAAATAAAACAAAAATTAAACATGATATTAACAAAAACTAAAAATTCATATATTAAAAGAGACTAAAATGAATGGTTTAAGTACTAAACATAATGTACCCTTAAATTATTTATCTTTTCGTCAACCAAGTTGTCTTTGTCTCACAATTTGTACTTTAGTGGTAAATTACAAATTTGGTAACTAAAATTTTATTCTCTCTTATATTTCACTCACTTCACTTTAAATCTTTTCAATTTCTTCAATAAATTTAATACATTAGATTTTTTTGTCACTCATACGTTAAATAGTTAACGACGTTAAAATGAGTTGTTATTTAAACGCAAAATGACATCATTTTAGGGAAATTTTTATTTTTTTCTAAAATGACATCGTTTTAATGTCTTTAATTATTTACCGGCAGAGTGACCGAAATAGGAGAGAGATTAAAGTTCAGTGACAAAAAAACTTAATGTATTAAGTTCAGTGAGGAAATTGAAAACTTTTATAGTTCAATGAGAAAAATAGGAGAGAGACTAAAGTTCAGTGATGAAATGTGCAATTTACCCTTGTACTTTATGTATGAATCTTTGACTAGACAAATGAAGACACCAAGTACATGGTGCACAGTACGGTTTGAATCAGTGTTATGATTTCTTTAAGGGCAAATTAATTCAAATGGCTTCAAACTCTAGGCCTTTTTATCAATTTTCCTATTGATGTTTTAATCGTTTCGATTTAGTTCTAAACTTTGTTCTTTTGGCTTTGATGTAAGCACATGTCGTTAAATTGTTAATAACACGATGATTTGATCGTATTCCTTATCATGAAATTTTTGTTTGTGTTCTGACTCTTCCTGGATTTCTACGATCACGATCATACGGGCACCGTGGATGACAAAACCACGGACGGTAGCTTCTCCGATGCCGCTTGCTCCTCCGGTGATTATGGCTACTTTGCCTCCGACCTTGTTGGACATTGTAGAGTTAGATACTAGGAAGTGGACAACGATGATAAGCACAGACCGATGAAATGATTTCTAGCAAAGCTGTCGTGCATTATGAACCAAATAAACCAAATCACATGTCGGGAAGAACCAAACCTTATCATATTCCACTACAGCAAAACAGAGTTTTAGCGGCGTTTTTTTAGTCTTATAGCGGCGTTTTTAAGCGCCGCTAAAAGTATTTGCGGCGATAGGAAAAACGCCGCAAGAAGCGCCAGCAATACCAACGCCGCTAAAGTTAGCGGCGTTTGAGAATAAAAAATGCCGCAATAGGTCAATATCTATTACGGCGTTTTTGGAACAAACGCCGCAAAAAGTTATGATATATAGCGGCGTTTCTAGAAAAAACGCCGCAAAAGGTCAGATCTATAGCGGCGTTTTTTGATACAAATGCCGCAAAAGAGCAGACCTATACTAGCGTTTTTAGAACAAACGCCGCAAAAGGTCAGACCTATAGCGGCGTTTTTGGACACAAACGCTGCAAAAGGTCAGACCTATAACGGCGTTTTTGAACACAAACGCCGCAAAAAGTCAGACCTATAGCGGCGTTTTTGGATATAAACGCCGCTAATTACCTTTCTTTAGCTAATATTAATTGATTTTACATATTTCATTTCTGCTATACATCACCTAAATTTATATCTAGCTTTATCTAATTAACAACAACCATACATTTTAATTAAGACAAAAAACATAAAGAAAAATACTTAACAACAAAATAAATTAAAGTTTTTTTTATGGAGAGAGAACCTTAAAAGACATTAAAGTACAAATGAGTTACAATTGAACCTCAAAGTGTAGATATACATGGATTTATTGTTCGATACATCCTCAATTTCACTAGCGTCATCATCATAACCTCCAGATATGCCTTCTAAAGCTACTTTGTTTCCCACTTCATTGGAATTTGTCATATTCATCGTCTTGACATCTTATTTGAAAGTATCATTTGACAGTGAATGATCTCTCCTTAATAGATTAAAAACAAATGGGAAACGCTGTGCCAGTCTATTGAAGAAGCCGCTTTTTGTTGAAGTTTGTTCTTCAAGATTACTGCAATTACAATAATTTAGATGAGACTAAGAAGAAAAGGAAACAACCAGTAGAACTTGCATTCATAACCTACATGTGAGTGATTGAGAACTGAAAAAATATGTTGCAACAAACAACAAAAATAGGAAGTCAGGAACCATGAAAACTAAAATATATTCTACATAAGAATGTAAAAAATGTCATCATAAAGAAAAAATTTAATAATGTATTGGTTGCCATCTTACTTTTAGAAGTTAGAATTCTTACCCCAAGATAACAACTGTTATGACTAGAAGGTTGGGCTCCAGCTTAGGATCATGAAATACAGATATAATAATGTCCTTTGTGTACTCTGTAGTTTGACGGAATGTACGCAAAAAGGCTTGCAAATCGTCATCGCTGATAACATTAGAACTTGCAACAACACATATAACTATGCCATCGAGTTCCTACGTCCAAAAATGAAATGGTCAAAACTTTAATGTGACACATGCAACAAATAAAAGGAGTAGGTTGCCCCGTACAAAGAAAATCGGAAAAACATTTATGTTTGAAGTTTGAACCAAGAACAAGCATTAGAATAAGCCAATTTAATCGAGAAATCACCAAAACAACCCTAAGAGCAGAAGAAAAACACGATTCTTTCGACTGAACAATGTATATTCGATATAAATTTTAAACATACACAGATAAGGATCCTTTGACATGATCAATCACACAAAAAAATCCTAAAAGGGATTACTGAAATAAAAAAAAAATTGAAAAAGATAGAACGAAAAGGCATAAATGAAAGAGGGGAATGAAAAGAATGGAGATATCTGGGTTGAATGTAAGGGGAATATGGATCGAACAATGGAGGTCGAAGGATCGAAGGATGAGAGTGGATGCGAAGAGATAAAAGGGAGGGGAGATATATTTCGATGCCCAGACTAGGGGTGTTCGCGGTCGGTTTGGATCGGTTTTTGGTTAAAAATTCATCCAATCCGAAAGTATAAATGTTTGCGGTTTGGATCGGTTTGGATGTTTCTAAAAAAAATCCGATCCGATCCGATCCAATTAAGTGCGGTTTGATTCGGTTTGGATTTGTGCGGTTTTTGGATTCTAATTTTTCAAAATAATTCAAAGCAACAACACTGCCTAAGGGGGTCAAACAGTTTCAACATTTCACATCCTAAACTAAGATCGATCGAATAAACAAGTGACATGCATAGTAATTTCAGCAAACATCAATTAGCAAGCACCATTAACTTGTGTTCTTAAGGGAATGAATGACTATCTCTTCCATGTTGCAAGGGTTGATTAAATGTAATTACTTGACTGTACCAAGTCAACAGAACAGAACTGAAAAATAAAAAAATGGGTTGATTAAATGTACTTCTATGTACTAATGGTATAAGTATAAATGTCAACCAATCAGAAATAGTGTGATGATAATATATGTAAGGCAAATGCTAACTAATGAAATAGAACACACTGATACATGTGCAATCAAGTAGGAACCAGTAGCAATCAGAATTTCTAAGCAAATGCAGTGATTAGTAGGAACCAGTAGCAAAATCCTCAACACCTTTGCGAATCTTAAACCACCAGGCCACGGTGTAAGAACGAATTATAAACAGGTAAGTTACAATCCAAAAACTCTCCTTTAATGCATAACTTTAAAGGGTAAAACCAACACAGTAGCAAACCTAACTACATAAGACAGATCGGAAACAGTCCAATCAACTAAAATCCGAACATAAAGATTGCAAAGGCTGATTCATCAGGTCAACTATACCTACACCTTTGAGCACATTAAACCACCCAACCGCGATGTAAGAAGAACAGATTATAAATCGGCAAGTTAAAAACCGAAAACTATCCTTTAATGCATAACTTTAAACAAAGTTTATGGAGCTTGTGAGTGAGCGAAAATTTGAGGATGGAGAAGCTCGAGGAGCTCAGTAAGAACATAGATTCCATACACTGATCATAAATAAAAGCCTTTAGCTTTGTTTAACTGTTTAGGGTGACTTCGAATATCTATATATGGGTGTCAATGTTTTTCGGGTTTGGTGTATTGTATGTTAATCTTTGTTTGTTTTGTTAGACATTCGATGAAGAATGTTAGCTGATTTAGAAAGGGAAATATCCTATAAACAGATTTGTAACTAAATGCCTCCGGATCTATTGTACCTTTTGTTTAGTTCATTCAAGTTTCCTGTAATCTGAAGTTTGTTTCGAAGCAAAAGGCTTGGGGAAACCCAATATCCTGAATCAACGGATTTGTAACTAAATGCCACCCTGAATCAACGTTCTCAACAGTATCCCAATATCCAAACT